GCTATTCATAAAGTTTTCCCTGGCCAGTTCTTTGAGAAGTGGATGGCCTCTTCCTTCTTCCTAGTCTGTCTCAGTCTGTAAGCTGGGCTGATACCTGTGCACCATGTGCATCCTGCTGGATTTGAAACACCAGTGGCTCAGCCTCAAAACTCACATCAACACGTCACCATGGTAGGACAAACCAACAGACAAGTTTGTCTCCCTGTTAGAAACCTCTCATACCACCCTTACCTGGGTCCCTGCGGCTGATTAAGTTGGGCAATTTTCATAAATATAATTTCCTTTGATTCTTATAACAAGCTGGAGAGGTGGACATTATTATCATTCACAATTTCCAGATAAAAAATGAGACTCAAAGATGTGAAAATCTTGCCCAAGATCAGATACCAAGTAAATAGCAAAATCAAGACTAGAAACCAGGGTTTCTGACACTGGATACCATGTAGTTATCACTATACTATGCTGTGCTATCTCATTTCTCTAATAAAAATACTTTCTATTGCTGTAAGCATCCTTAAGTATGTTATTATTGAGTTAATAATAGTGAACTTTATTTTAAAGTGCCACATGGATGAGTTAAAATAAAATACACTTAAATTGCAAGAGGAAGTACTTAGGCTGGTGGGAAATCTTATCAAAAGTCATATATTTTTGTAAACTAATGAGGAGTTGGAGGAAGGTGAAGAATTTTTTTTGATGAATTTTCTTATTCTCTCTCTCTCTCTCTCTTTTTTTTTCCAGAAAAAGATACACGAGGAGGATAAGATTTAGATAAAAGCTTTGCTTGAAGGTAGGAGAATAGATTAGTTGACCTATACAGATGAAAATGTTTTTTAAAAATCAGCTGCCACCAGTCCTCACTAACTATTCATTACAATCCATCAATGTAAAAAGATGAGCTTTGATCTCCTCTGGAAGGTCATCAGGCTGGCCCTAATCCCAGTGTGCTGGGCACCCTGCTGTGCTCAGTTACAGTTAGGTGTGACTCCTGGGCAATGAAGTCTGTAAAAACAGCCTCAGCCTGGTCTTGAAACATATGTGGAAAAAAAAAAATTCAAAGTATATATGATAGGATCATCAGCAACTTACATTTCCCTGCCCTTTCTGAAAAGAATGGGGTCCTTCCTTCTTTATGGCTACATAAACCAGGACATCAGCATCTTCCCCAGTGACACTAACCAGATATGACTCATGAGGGCATTTTTCAAAAAGAAAACAAAACCTACAAAATAAAAGAGATTTCCTTCACATTTAAATTTGTTCATAACACAATTCATTAAGCAACATCACTTATTTAAAATCTTGTTGTATCATGTCTGTAACAAAAGATGCAACACCTTTATATACATTTTTTTTTAAGTACTGATTTAAAAATTTGGCATAGTGCCTAAGGCATTTGACTGCTAACCAGAAGGCTGGCAGTTCAAACCCACCAGCTACTCCTTGGAAAGAAGACTAGGTAATCTACTTCCATAGAGGTACCGCTTCAGAAACCCAAGGACGGGTCGCTATGGGTCAGAATTGACTCTACAGCAGTGAGTTTGGTTTTGGTTTAATGCAAAATTGCTAATGACAGAATCGGCCATAATATCAGGTTTAAGTCCAGAGTTTAGGAAATACATTTCCCTTGATTATTTGAGGGAAATACATATTGTTCTGAACAATTTCCATAGGAATTTTCAGGTTTCTACAGATATTCATTGCCCAGCTAGGCCGGAAATGGATCACCTAGACAGTTTTACTATGTTTTGCCCATTTCAATATTTCTGTACACTATGGAAGGTTGTTGGTTCAGTGGTAGAACTCTCATCTTCATGCGGGAGACCTGGGTTCTATTCCCAGCCAGTGTACCTCATGTGTAGCTACCACTTGTCTGTCAGTGGAGGCTTCTTTGTCACTATGATGCTTGGAGAGGCTTTGGTGGATCTTCCAGACTAAGACAGGCTAGGAAAAAAACCTTGACAAACTTCTCCCCAAAATCAGCCAATGCAAAGCCTATGGATTACAGTGGTCCTATTTGCAACTAATTATGGAGATGGTGCAGGACCAGGCAATGTTTCATTCCATTGTGCATGGAGTCATCATGAGCCAGGGGCCAATTCAATAGCAGCTAAAAACATACCTGATGTACGAAAGGTCAAACAGGAGGAACAGGTCTGTTTTTTGTGTGCTCAACATGTTTTAGATTATTATTTTTATAAAATGAGTAAACTGAGTCTAAAAGAGTTTGAATAAGTTTCCAGATGATTAGATAGCTAGTAAGTTGCTGGGCAGGGATTTGAAGAGTTGGTTACCTTATTCCAAGAGCCACACTTTTATCTCTGTGATTTAGAGTTTCTAGGGCTCCTGATATCACAGTGATGCCACAAGTACCTGCTAGTTCTAAGCATTCACAAGCTAAATGTTATTGAGCACTATGAATTTTTCTTCTTTGTTTAGAATAAATAAGCCCTTGGCAGAATACTGCACAAGCATACACGTTCCCTGAAACAGAACATCTCACATTGCTGTGGTCTACACATTGGCTTCCATGACTTGCCTGGTGTGAGGAGGGCTCCCCCTTCACATCTTCATCTGGGTCCACACCAACTCTGTCAAAGAAAACAGGGAAACTGGTAAATGCCTTGGTGCAGACAAGACAGGCATTTGTGTCAGGTTACTGGAACCAAACATGATAGGAAGCAGAGGAGTGATTTGGCAGAAAACCATCCTATTTCTCCCTGAACAACAAGAACCTGGAATAGATTTATGGCAAAATGAGCCTCAGCAAAGCTGGAGAGATTGAGCACCAGTAGCTGTTCTTTGCTGTTGTCTTTCTCAACCAGAGCATAAACTTGAGAACCAGGGATAAGAGCCGTGGGAAATAGACTTTGCAGCCCTGAAAACAGGGCTCCAGGAGTAGAGAAACCTGGTTCTTTGTCCAGAAGCTCCCTGTGGCTGCCAGAAGGAGAGAGCCAGATCTGTGGGCCCTGAGGCTTATACAATGGAGGGGCTCTCTTTTATAAAAAGAACGTAAAAATACAAATGCACAATGAGTTATGAAAATGACTCTTTAGAAAAAGAAATCACAAAAATGACATATTTTTTAAAGATGGCAAATACCAAAGATACCTCAAAATCCATAAAAAATAATATTAACATTAATTAACTACCTGACACTCATTTAAAATAAATTTTTCCCCTGTAATTTTAATCTGCTTACTCTTTGATAGACTTTTTATATAACGATTTTGTGTCAGAGAGAACAGGAAAATAAGATAGTCTTTCCTCCAGCAAAATTGATCAAAAGTATTGATATGATAGTTGGGTGGCACTATGGCATTCTTTCTTACATGCAGACACACTTGGTATATGTAGGACTGCTACAAATAAATACCCTACAAATACACAAACTCTGATAAATCTCACTTCTTGTGATTCCCACAACAAGGTGCAGTATCTGTTTGGTTTTTTTTTCAGACTTAAAAAGAATTATGACAAATATATAAGTAAGAGAACACTAGGAGCTCTGGTGGCATAGTGCCTAAGGCATTTGATTACTAACCAGAAGGATGGCTGTTCAAACCCACCAGCCACTCCTCGGAAGGAGTGGGCAATCTACTTCCATAGAGATATTACCTCAGGAACCTAAGGAGGATCGCTATGAGTCGGATCTGACTTGATGGCAGGGCAGTGGTTTTTTTTTTTTTTTTTTTTTAACAGAACACTTGTCAACAGTCTTTACCTGTACAATTTACTGACATTAATTAGAGTCCATCATGTTATTCAACTGCAACCCTTATCCATTCTGAAATTCTTCCCTTACCCTTAACAGAAGCTCAGTGTCTCAGTGTCTCAGTGTCCCTTCAGCACTGAACCCTTTCCCCAAAGATTTACTGCTGTGGAAACCCAATGGTTGGATTCGACTTGATGACAGGTTTTATTTATTTATTTTTTTTTAGTGTCTGTAGTTATAATCCTATTTGGGAATGGGTTGTCTTTGTTATGATAGTGAGGCAGGATTAGTGTAAAGTGTATTTTGAGTCAATGTCTATTGTGGTGGTTATGTTTGTGTGTCAACTTGGCTGGCCTTGGTTCAGTGGCTGGGCAGGTCAGAGCTATTGTCTAGATGGTCTCAAAGAACAAGTTTGTTTTCAAGACTTGGGAGCTAATATAATTATTCTGCTGGATTTTGGTCTTGTTTGGTGCCTGTTACCCTTTCTTTGCCTCCAATTTCTCCCATTTGTAATGAAAATGTCTACTTTGTCCCTATTCCACCATTGTTCTTTGGAAACAGATAACTTGTAGTCTAGATTTGACAGGTTCAAAGATGAAGAGGAATTTTGCCCAAGGATGGAATACACTTGAAGTCTCGTCCATATTTGATTTACATGATGAGATTTTGGACTTGGAGTTGACCTAAGACTTTTGGGATGAGGTGATGGGGTGAACGTGTTTACATGTGAGGACATGAATTTTGGAGGCACAAAAGGGTGGAGTGTTATGGATTGAATTATGTTCCCCCTCCCCAAAATATGTTGATGTAAATCCTAACTTCTGATTATAATGTGATTATAATCCCATTTGGGAATGGGTTGTCTTTGTTATGTTAATGAAGCAGGATTAGTGTAGGATGTATTTTGAGTCAATCTCTTTTGAGATATAAGAGACGTTAAATAAGCACACTAAAAAGCAGAGATGGAGGAAGAAAGATGCCAAGCCACATAAAGATTGCTCAGGAGCAGAAGGCAAAAGAGACAAGGACCTTCCTCCAGAGCTGACAGAGAAAGAAAACTTCCCCTAGAAACAGCACCCAAAATTTGGATTTTTAGCCTCCAAACTGTTAGCCAGGCACTTGTGATACTTCTGTTATAGCAGCACAAAGTAACACAGACACCTGGTAACCATTAATAAACTCTAGTTTCTCTGCCTTTGCCAAACCTAGATATTTCATGTAAGTGGGAGCGTGCATTATTTGTCTGTTTGTGACTAATATATCTCAGTCAGTATAATATTTTCAAGATTCATCCATGTTGAAGCATATATTAGAACTGTCAAGTTGCTTCTGACTCATGGTGACCCCATATGTGCAGGGTAGAACTGCTCCACAGAGGTTTCAAAACTGTGATCTTTTGGAAGCAGATCACCAGGCCTGTCTTCCAAGGTGCCTCTGAGTGGGTTCACACTCCTAATGTTTTGGGTAGTAGTTGAGGGCTTAACTGTTTGCACCACTTAAGGCCAACTTTATTTCTCTTTATGGCTGAGTAATATTCCATTATATATACAGACAGCATTTAGCTCATCTAATCATGTGTTGATAGATATTTAGACTGTTTCCACCTTTTGACTATTGTGAATAGTGCTGCAATGAGCATTTCTTTGCAAGTATCTGTGTTATTGGGATCTCTGGTGGTATAGTGCCTAAGGCACTTGACTGCTAACCAGAAGGTTGGCAGTTCAAACTCACCAGCCACTCCTTGGAAGGAAGATTGAGCAATCTACTTCCATAGAGATATCACCTTGGAAACCCAAGGAGGGGTCGTTATGAGTCAAATCAACTTGATGGCACACAACTACCACCACCACCACCACCACCATCTGTGTTCTTGCTTTCATTTTTTTTTGGGGGGGGGCAGGATTCACAGTGTCTTTAATAGTGTATATGCAGTATCACTGAGTAACTTCACCATAGGAAGAAGTTCCATTTTGACTGAACATCACTGAGAACTGAATCTTCTGCTTTGCATTTCACATGTGCCATGTTTGGAAGAATTTTCCATAAGCTAACTTCTGGTTCAGTGCATTTAAACTTTGTTTCTCAACTACCCACAGACTTCCCATGCTACGCACCATAGGATATGCTTATAGTCAGTAGGACTTCTGGCCCTGCACCTTTGTGGCACTATTCCTGAGAACCATTCCCATGCTGTGATGACAAGCAGTGATATGCCCACATACAGAACTGTCTGCAGAGCACAGAGATATATCCCACTAAGCCCAAACTAAATGCATCACCAATCAGCCTTCCCCTTAGTTGGATCCTCAAAATGTCCGCAGCCACTCCAATGCTATCTGACAAGAGAAGTATAACTGAGGGGAAGCTGTAATGGGAAGAGACATTAGTTGACCCAACTATGGTTGAAATATCTTCCTTTTGCAAATCTTACAAAAACACTTGACCACGGGAACATGAGGAACACAAGGCCTTCCCAGGAGGAAGGAGGCTGCTCAAGACCTCAGCAAGCCTGACTTAGCCTCCACTAAAGCCTTTTGGGGAATGCCACAGTTTCTAGACCTTTAAGTGTCATTCCTTCAACTTCTGTCCCTTGTAAACACTTTGTTAGTACTCTTCTAATCTATACTCTAGGTGGGAGAAGTGAAGGCAAGGTGAGAAGCCACAGTTATGCAAATGTGCTTCCATTTAAAACAAAAGCAATAACAGTGAAGAGACAACTTATTTCCAGTTCCACTGATTCTTCAAAAATCCAGGCATGAATAGCCCTAAGTCTCTAACTAAAGGGGAGAAATGAATACATCCACTCCTCACTTATAGACATAGTTTAAGTTCCAAAGACCAACTCATTAATTGAAAATGGAGGATGACTACCTCAGATCACAAAATGAAGGATGACTATGTCATTATATAACTGCCAAATTGCATCATTTCACAACATCATTTTATAAGTGCCAAATTACATCATTACATAACTGCCACACCACTGATAATCATGGCCCAGACAAGCTGACACATAACAAGCCAGCATTGCTCTTGCCTCCTACCTTGGCATTTGTTATTGCCAGATGTCCATCATTAATGTGAAAAATAGTTGGATTTTTTACTATTGTCATAAAAGTGAGATGTCAGATAACAAGATAGCAGATAAATGAAGAGTAAACCAAAAAAACCCAGACTCACTGCTGTCAAATCAGATCCGACTCATAG